ATGTGCATTGCTTGTACAGCTCCCTTGCGCACCTTGTAGAGGTGCCACGGGCCAGAATGTGACGTCACTTCGGTCCAGCACCTCTATAGGACTTGTGAGGAAACTGTAAGCAATGCATTTATGGATGGAGCTCCCTCACAGCCATACCCCCAGCCAACCCCACCTCAAGCTGACACTCGGTGCCGGGCAGCATATTTTGAATGGCTGCTTGGCGCGAGAACTGACAGTGCTGCACTAGGAGGAGGCTGAGGAACCTCTCATCTAGAAAAGTGGAAGGCATGCGGCGACCCACTGAACATGGGATCGCGACCCACTTTCGGGTCCCGACCCACCAGTTGAGAACCAAGGCTCTAGAGCCTCCCGATCAGTTGTACTGGCCTGCAGTGTAACACTACCCACACACATCGCACCATGGTTTCCAGGCTTTCCTGCTCCCCTGGGGGACCTGGGACCATGGCAAATGCTGTCAGGATAGAGAGCAGAAGCAGATCAAGGAACATCTGAAGAAAACTCAAGTCAGGGGAATGCTATCCAATAAATATACTTAATTATATCCAATGTTCACTTGATCTTACTTTTTTGAGTTACAACTACAGCAAAACATGTAAAATCCCTTCACAACAGATAAGAACAAGCTCCATTACACATATACACAATCGAGAACAGCAGAGTGAAAAGGATGTACTGTTGGATCAAATTGTAATCTGAATAATATTATCTGAAACCCTCATGAGAAGGATGTTATATAGGACAAGCTATTTTTCCTGCTAAATTATTAAAGATTTTTTTTTTCAAGTGTTCAAAACAGGGAGCAGATGAAAGCAAAGATAAATAGTTTTTTTACTAGAGATGAGGTGATCTGGCAAAAGCCATTTTACCTATGATTTACAAAATTTAGTCCTCAAATCTTATTTTGTCAGCCCATGAAGTCAACTAGTAAAGTAATCCTCTGGTACCCTTTAGGAGCTTTCTAGAGCGCATTAAACCCCCATAAGCAGGTTCCCACCTACTCACCATCTGAGCTCTGTTGAAGGGCCTGTGAATTACATAATAGATCAATGTAATTATATCTACATAATTCATCTATAGAAAAAAAAACAGGAAATCCCCACCAAATGTTAGCGTGTTATATATGGGCTAAGGAGAGCTATTATAATGTCTGAGTGAACTGAAAAGGGTCCAAAAAATGTAACCATTTAATTTAAGGAGCAAAGAGAGAATTCATAAATCTTCAATGCAAATCAAACAGGTTTTGCAAATTTTAATTTTCTACATATGAACTGAATCACTGGCATTGCTGTTTTTTGGTTTAAAATGTAATTAATTAATTTTGGGTTTCATATCCTTTAATTTAAACATTTATGCACATATACCCAATTATTAGAATACACTTGTACCTCAAGTTTGAATACTGCTTTATATATTTCTTCGTGCATGTAGCAGCCAATAAATTTTCATCTGTCATTTCTGCAGTGCATGTCTGAAAATAAAACAAGTATTCTGATGGATACTGAGTACAAGAAATAATGATCAGCCCTAAAGTTTTCAAATACAGTGTTCTGCATTTGTCTAGGAATGCAAATGAATGCGGGAACAAAAGTGGTCAACTGACATGCCCAGAGTAGCCAGAGGTGTCACTGCTAGTTTAATATCCTTCTCTTTTATTTGCTTGATAATGAGATTTATTGTCAAAGAAAAGCATATTGTGTGGAGGCCAGGCTAAATTATGTTTTCTTGTTTAGAGGAGTGAAAGGAGCTTCATGAAGTATAGTTTTTGTGTTTTTTTTTTCTAGAATAATGTTGAATGCATTTGGAGATACATATTAAACTTTATGGCAAATAAAAAAGTTCATCCCCATCAAATATTGATGTGTAGCAGTATCTGGTGAACTAAGTCAGATATGTCTGCAATCCTGCATATTTATTCATCAGCAACAGCAATATTAGCAATGAAACCCTATCGGCCTATCCTATTGGCTAATATGATATATTCATATAGTTCTAGTACAATGGGTCAGTCAGTGATAAGAAAATATCACAGACTGTAATATTCAATACTACCTTTGATTTTATTTTCATTATGTCAATTCAGAAGAGGTGCACAATATAAATGATAGCTGAACTGACCGTTCTGTGTGTTAGGATGACATCATTTAATTAAATTGAAATTGTTTTCCTTCTACAGCTACAAAATCCCAAATAATATACTATTGTTAGTAGCAGAAGTACTGGACAGAGGTGGACATACCATTTTTGCATACTGTGCAATTATTTGAGGGCCCTCCGGTACATTTATACTAGTGACAGGTCAGGTGGAACCCCTCTTGCTGTCACTTAGATCTGAACACTGCTCAATTCTATCTAGCTCTCAAACAATTCTTAGAGCCTAAGTAATTTATTTGCCCAGTAGTTGAATAGGGGGGTGCAAAAATTCTGTCTTATACAGGAGCCGTTTGGATGGCTTTTTATTTTATCATGAATCAGAATGGATAGCCACTGTACCCAAGCCACCTTCCAGTTACATGTATAAATACTACTTTAAAACAAACACAAATTGGTGACCTGCAAATCTTTCACTGGAATATTGCGTACAATAGGTATGAATATCACTACCAGAAAGGAAAATACTGCTTATAGATTGCAACACATCTTAACATTAATAATACATATTATTCATAAAGATAATAGGAGTCCTACAAACAAGCGGTTTGACAATGGATGATGGTACGGTGTCTTTACAAGAACTATAGCGGGGGACAGTTTACAAAAGGCCTTAGTGCAATACAGCAAATGCAAACAACAAAGTATTGGAATTCTACAAGTTTCAGGTTAAAATGTCAGTATTAATCCAGCACCGCCTAAACTATATGCATTAAAAGGGTGGTTTTGCCAGAAACAAAATGATACTATTCACAGATCAAAACCTGTATCCTGCACAAAATGATACTATCCACAGATTAAAAACTGTATCCCGCACACTCTAGCCCATTATAGATGTCTGGGAAACTTTGCTTCACTCGATAGATCAAATAATTGTGACCAGATGATCAGCATATGCAGCAGAATCATATGTTTCACAAAGATTATGTGCAAAGCAGTAACAGTCATGTCAACAAGGTATACACTGAGTGGCCAGATTATTATGACCACCTGAAGTTTGTAGGCAAAATAGCTATAATTAGCTATACATTTGTGCTGAAGTTGCTAGAGGGCCAGACCATTATAAATAGGGAAGCAGGTTGTTTACCACGACAGTAGAGTTGATTTTTTTCTGAAGATATGGGTAAACAACGCAATTTAACAGCTTTTGAACGTGGGATGATTGTTGGTGCTCAGAGTCATGGAGCGCGTATCAGCAAAACAGCAGAATTCATTAAATTTCAAGAGCAGCTGTTGTTAAAGTGTTAAAAGACTGGACTGTCAGCCAAAAATCTGGTTCTGACCGTGCAAATTGTGGCCGTCAGCGACTAGTCAATGTTAGGGCAGAACGGAGAGTGGCAAGACTGGTACAAGACAACAGAAGGGCAACAGTGCAGTGTCATTCCTCGCATCACCTTTCAACGTCTCGTGGAGTCACGAGGCGGCCCAACGAAGTCATCTCGTGGCCCAACGAAGTACTGATGGGGTGGTCATAATAATCTGGCCACTCAGTGTATATTCCAGTGATATCACTCCACTTAAAGTGATGCAAATATCAGACATAAACATAATGGTGAACGTTTCAAATTCACCACAATTTAAACCAGATCATGTAATCCAATGTAGGGATTTATGCTTTATGCACATCAGGCCTTCTTGAACAAAACAGTCTCATGTAGGCAAGTAGAAATCGCTTTTTAAACAACAAGACTCTCCTGTTATAGACATAAGCTAAGTAAAAAAACATAGCTTGTACCAATATGTGCTCACAAAGTCCCCAGGCCATTTAGTGTGGCCACAGACTGAAAATATATAGAATGTCCAGAATAAATATAGAGTCTCCTGTGAGTGTGCAGTGGGTGTGCATGTAAAGCACCTGGCCAGTTTTGTGGGCCTTCCCTGGCTTTGTCAGGGGTAGCCCTCTGTATGTATTCAATGCTAATGCGTGTTTTATTAGCTAATAGGCACATCACCTGTTTTGTAATAGATAATATGTATGTATGATATGGATAACAAATATGCAATGTACATGTTACAGTTGAATAGAAAACCTATCAAACATGGTCTTTGGAACAAATCTGGATAGTAACATCTTTCTGAAAAATCCTAATTTCAATACAAATTGTTAAATGTTTGTGAAGTTCAGGAAGCCCTGGAATAATGCTCATGTTTTATGCTGAAAATTTAAGAATTCTAATTCTTTGCTGTTTGCATTTGCTGTTTCGCAAGACCCTGTGTGAACTCTTCTCCTGTACAAGTCTTGTGAGGATGCCATGCCATTATCCATTGTGATATGATTTGTTTGTAGAACTCCTGTTTACTCTCAATGTTTTGTATATCCCTACATATGCTTGTAAATTTACAGGTTATTGATCATTTTTTTCATACACTATTGGGCCAATTCATGTGGGTTGTGACTTGCCCCAACTCTGGGCATAAACAGACCCCATATATAAACAATTGTACAACTTAGAGGTGTGGGGTGTTTTATTATTTTTATTATCATTGAGGTCTGCTGCAGTCTATAAGAAGTAGTTTCTTTTCTGGCAATTATATACCCCTTTAAAAAAAAAACCTCTAGTAGTTTTATAGAGCTTATTACCATTTTAAACCTCCACATTATTTCTTGCTGCACAATAAAGTCAAGATTTTTTTTTTTAAATAGCCTTTTCATATCATTAAAAGGTGATCAGCTGCTTTTGTTGGTATATGTCTGCTTTCTAATAATTTTTCTATTGTATGTATTAGACCACAGCTAAGTGTTAATTTCTGTGCAGTCTCCACAGTTTACAATTGTGTCATTCTCTGATATGTTCCTGTACTGATTTTTCTTAATGTCTTGCTCATTGTTTTATTGACAGGTTGCTAATTTGCTGAGGCTCTTCCATATTCCTCAGATAAGCTATGCTTCCACCAGTGCCAAACTTAGTGATAAATCACGTTATGATTACTTTGCACGGACAGTGCCACCAGACTTCTATCAGGCAAAAGCAATGGCTGAGATCCTACGTTTCTTTAACTGGACGTATGTGTCTACTGTCGCTTCTGAAGGAGATTACGGAGAGACGGGAATTGAAGCCTTCGAACAAGAAGCACGACTTAGAAACATTTGCATTGCCACTTCAGAAAAAGTTGGAAGATCAAATATTAAAAAGTCTTATGACAGTGCTATAAGGGAATTGCTACAAAAGCCAAATGCTAAAGTTGTGGTTCTTTTCATGCGGAGTGATGACACAAGAGAACTCTTGGCAGCTGCTAATCGATTTAATGCTTCCTTTACCTGGATTGCCAGTGATGGGTGGGGTGCCCAAGAAAGTATTGTGAAAGGCAATGAACATATTGCTTACGGGGCAATTACATTAGAACTTGCTTCCCATAAGGTTAAGGAGTTTGACAAGTATTTTCAAAGCCTTAATCCCAGCAATAATCACCGCAATCCCTGGTTTAAGGATTTTTGGCAGCAAAAATTTCAGTGTAGCCTGTACAACAAGACCGACAGACCATGTGATAAACGCTTCAATATCAACAGCTCCAATTATGAACAAGAATCCAAAATAATGTTTGTGGTAAATGCTGTATATGCAATGGCTCATGCCCTTCACCAGATGCAAAGGACCCTATGTTCAAACACCACAAAGTTGTGTGATGCCATGAAAACAGTAGATGGCAAAAGGCTCTACAAGGAATTTCTGCTGAAAGTTAACTTTACAGGTGAGCCTTTGGGGGAAGTATTTTCATTTAACTTAATGGAATAAGCCATTTCAAATAATGTGTTTTGTTTATCTGTTTTAATTGCTACTTTTCCATCTGTTTGACCCGCTGGAACAATGGATAGCAAATGTAAACAATACACAAGGAGATTCTTTGGCAATGTGAACTCAGTGATAGCAACATCAACTGCAGATGTTGCACTACATAATTAGAAGCTGAGGGGTATGGATGTTGTAAGTTGTATTGCTCACAATTAAGCATCAGAATACAAACTGCTACTTAGAATTCATTAAGAATCAGTTCATATCGTAAAGGAAAAACATAAACCTGTAATTGTATACAGGGAAAAACAAAACACCAGGAGTTATTGCTGAAGTAGAAAGCAAGGATATGAAAATTAAAGTGTACTTTAACCATTGGAAACCCCTTGGATCAATATAAAGCTAGCAATAAGGTGTAAAGGTGCACATGGGCAGGGTAATATACAGAGCAACATAAAACTTCCCTATCACACTTTCTAGCAGAAAAAAACCTAAACTGCTTCATACATTTGCTAATACATGTAAAGCCACAGTGCTGCATTAAGGCACCTCTGTAAAATGTGATTTCTAATCTGACAGGGTTATTCACAAAAGGGTGAAGAGTTTGGAGAAGGCAGGAGAAGTGAAAATCTAGGACAACATCGATAAACTGGAAAGTGAGCTGAATTGGTGAATTTTTCCCCAAATCTTTTGGCCTAGATTGTTCACTTATCCAGCCTTCTCCAAACCCTTTACTGAATTACCCTGTTAGTATATAAATATACAGTATAACAATGTATAAACTGAGAGAAGGTTACCAGGAAGCAGCCCTCTTCTCCTTAAAGGTACAGTAAGACATCAGAAGCTTAACATTAATCAAGGCAGCTCAAGTTTGTGGAAGAAACTGGGAACTCAAATAGCTTTGAGTAAAAGTAGTTTTAAACTCTCAACATGTTTTCAATAATGGATCCAGATCAAATGAATATACATTGCCCAGCAAAGTATTTCTTCACATTTTTGCCCAAACACTTACAGTCATCATATTTCCAAACAGCTGGCTCCAACTCTCTCAGCTTGGCTTCCCTAAACTTCCTGTCAAGTACAAGATCACAAGGTAGAGAGCAATCTCCAGCAGCCGTCCTTCTACTACTTTGAGAAGGGAGGAGAAGAGGGATGAGAAGAGGGGAGCAGGGGGGAGTGGAATGGCTTGCTTTGCTGGGCCTCTGTGTTTATGGAGTTTCACACAGCTTACTAGCACAAACAAGGGTGGCTCCATAGGACTTTGCAAGGAAAAAAAGCAGGGTATCAGGGCCAGTGCTCAGGGGAACATCTGATTCTGCAGGAAACTAAAACTTTCAACCCTCAAGGATCAGTGTCCATCATATTTGATTTAATTAGCATTTGAAATAGCTACAAAATCTTTTGACTTTAATATCACTTTAACCTCCCTGGCGGTATTCCAGCATGTGGCTCGGGGTTAATTTTCAGTACCAAGAGCGGTAACCCCGAGCCACACTCGGGATTGCACAAAAGTTTCACTTACCTTGTCCCTACGAGCCTGTGGTGTCCTCTGATGTACGCGGCCAGCTGATGCCGGCATCTGACTTTTACTTTCGTTTTCCGTGTCACAGCGGGGGGGCGGAGCCGGCGGGAAATTCAAAAGTGAAAAGATGCAATGACATACTTTACAGAAGTGGCTTGATTTGGCAGTGTGGCTTTGCATGTATGTGCAAATGTATGCAATAAAATTTTCTGTTGCTCAAAGATATTAGGTTTTTCGTGCTGATTATCTGGAAAAGGTGCTAGTTAACTTTTATATTGCTTTGTATATTGCACAGCCCCTGTGCACCTTTCCCCCTATTTGCTAATTTTATATCTGAGTGTTTGACATTGTAGTTTTGTTGCAAAAACACACTGAGGGATATTTATTAAGTTTAAAGCAGACAGATTCTAGAGCAGCTGTGCTTGGCAACCAATCAACGTATAGCTTTCATTTTTAAAGCTTAACTGAACAAGCTGAATATAAAAGCTAATTGGCAACTTTGCATAGCTGCTCCAAATTTTGTCTTCTCTTGTTTTAGTAAGTTGCCTTCACTGGAGGTCTTCAGCTGCCCTGACCGATGCTGGGCTTCTGCGTGTTTCTGTACCTTTAAGGAGGAGAGGTCTGCCTCCTGGTAACCTTCTGTCATTTTTTGCATTGCTATATACAGTATGTCTCAAAATTGGGAACTTGGATATTTTTGAGTTAGCGACCACAGTATACAGATGTGTCTTGATGTGGAAGTGCAGTGTAGCATGTATGTGCAGATACATGCAACAAAAATGTAACCTAATATGTTAAAACACTTTATTTAGGTTTTTTTGTGCTGGCTAGTTTGAAAGAGTGCTGTGCAATTGTGTAAATTTCTTTAACCAATCATAACACATGCAGGTAGTACAACTGTGCAAGAGTTTCACTTTTTCCAAAATCAACCAAAATAACAACTGGCTCCTTATACATATATAAGCCAGAGAAACACAAAAGTAAGTCTTAATGGTATAAATGGGTTTTACAAAAGCTGTTGTAGGCCATATACTTAATTCACTTTCAAGTTAGAGTCAGATTTAAAGATAAGCTTGGGCAAGTGTGCTTTTTTAATTGAACACATAAAGGGAAATAATAGGAAACTTAGAAGCCAGAGTTACATTTTCACCGAAAAGCTGAACTCCAGCTGAACAGCTAAATACATAGTTAAAATACATAGAAGAGATCAGTTTAATCTACCAAAGGATTTGCATTTCTGTCCATCCATTCTCAAGATTTATACAGCTCTTCCAGACAGCATAGCCAGACTGGTGACCTGACTTTTCTCTGCTGCCGTTGAGCAATATAGCTATGTCACCTCCCTGCGCCCAACCTGTGATTGAAGCAAAAAAACTGATAGGTCATCCCTCTGCGCTTTCCTCCTGTGAGTAAATTCCCTGTCAATACATATGCATGCAGCATACCTGATTGGCTCTTAGTTCTGCCCCTCCCTCTCCCGGTATAAGTGCTAGGAAGCTACATAACAAGTCAAATTCAGGTACTTACACTAGTTACATTTGAAAAATGCATTTGATGATGTATTAATTAATTAATTACTCCATTAACTGCTGTATTTTTATATCTGAATAGTTCAGATTTAAATTTACATCATGAACATTTAGTCATGAAATATTTCATACCTTACAATTCAAACAGACCCACAATGTTTTAAATGGTTTGAGGCCAAGTCCAACAATCTCTGTCCGCCTCAAAATGTTCCTCAAATAGTCCCATATGGAAAGACCTGTATCCTAGGGATAGTTTTCCTTTTCACTGCCCTGAGGAAACATACTTGGACACTCCAGCACTATTCAATTTGCAACTTTGCATATTTAAAGGAGAACCCTGGGCAAATTAGGAATTAACCCTTGCAGTGGGGCTACCCCAGCACTGCAAGGGTTAACTGCTCATTTTGATCTAGGGTCTAAAATAAAAAAGATATACTCAACCGCTCAATCCCACCTGGCTGTTAGGCCAGTTCCTACAGCCTCTTGTTCCCTGGACTCCGGCGGTCTGAGCCCCTCTGACGTCCTCACATTTAATACAAGTTCACGGACTTGCACTGGATGTGAGGATGCCAAGGAACATTCAGGAGAAGAGAGTGAGAAGGATCGGGTGAGTATATCTATTTTATTTTAGACCCTAGACCAAAACAAGCATTCAACCCTTGCAATGCGGGGGGGCGGGGGGGTTAGCTCCACTCCAATGGTTAATTTTTTATTTTTTCAGAGTTCTACTTTAAGGGATAGCTTTACAGTGGTAATGGCAGCTGTTGCTTCTTTTTACCACCGGACATATGTGAAAGTAAACAGTCTGAAAAATGGATTATGTAGTAAAACAGCAGTTACTGTTTTTTCCAAGAAATATTCTGCCACTTGCAAAGGATATGTGTGGTGGCAAGACATCAGGAAATATGAGTAGGAGTTAATAAGTGGGAGTTGTAACATCTTCATATCTCATCATGGAAATGTAAACAAATGTGTTGCTTTGACAAACTGTTAAGAAATTACATGACATTTTTCTTGCTAATGGTTCTCAATTTCATCTTTAAAATAGAAAGTCATATATTTGCAAGTGAAACTTTTCCCTTGTAAAGACGTGTGTTCTATGAAAAGTGTTGTACCCTTTTCTATTTTTGTAATAGCTACTTACCACATGCACCTGGTTCCTAGATATGAGCAAACATCCAGATTACTTGGAATATGTTCTGAGATTCTCTTATTTACAGACTGAAGAAAGGCCCTGACTTTTTTAAAAAAAATATTACTTCTACCTCCATATTGTTTTCCAATATATGCACTAATTCACAAAAAGAATATTGTATTTTGTTGGATTACCTAGAGGGTTATTAACAAAACTGCCGAAGGCAGCCGAGTGAATAACCTACCCGAAGTGAAGTGAGCCGAACGCTATTCAGCTATTCACTATAGTAACCAAATATATGAGAAAACCCAGTTTTAAAAGAGGATTATGTTGCAATAACTTGATTTCACAAACATATATAATATAAGTAAATACGTATTTATGTATTTTTATGTTTTCATGTGTTTGATTAGAAGTGAAGGACACTAATATAGAAGTGACTAGGTGTGCTTATTGTGTGTGTATAAGAATATATAATAATATATGTGAAATCATGTGTCGCGGGGCACACGGGCCCCCCCAAACTAGTGATGATTGCAATGTGCTACTTATGTGTTTAAATAAGGAGCCATATGAAGCTGGGTCTCAAGCCACCTGGCTCGTTGCTACCCTTAACCACGTTCACTCACCCAAATCAAGTCAAAACAAAAATACCCCAATCTGAATTAAAAAACCCTCCCCCCACTCATACCCGCATAGACCATGTGCCCCTCCCCCATTATACAAAAGGGGGAGGAAAAGGAGAGAGATCCCCCAATCAGTGGAAACTAAGG